AATTTTATTTAAAATATTTTATAATTTAATATGAAGATAGTATTATAAAAAATCCTCTGTTTTCAAAGCATGGCGGCAGAGAAAACAAGGTCATGGGATTCTGTCATTCTATGGCTCGAGATTTTCCCAAAACATAATCATTGACGCATGTTACAATAATTCTCTCCCAACATTCACCAAACGACCCATTTTTTATTCATAATAATTCCGGATCGAAATACGAGAGTAATTAAGGATTTAACTTTTTTTTTATTTTTTGTCTGATTTTTTTGTTGCCACATGATATTCCCGTCATCATTTCGGTTGGATGAACAACCAAATGATTGTGCTGTTTTGATTATTTTTTTTTTCAAAGGCTGTGTGCTGATGTTTCTTCTTTGAATACAGAAGCAATCGATCACGCCCTTTGTTTGACTCCATCTTTCATAATGCATGCCTCTCGTGTGTATATGTGTTGCACAAAATTTATAACATGAGTCATACATAGGGGTGGAAAGAGGGGAGGACTGACAGGGCCACAATCCCCCTTAATTTTTAAATTTTTTCTTAATCAGATATAGGATTTATATATATTCAACTCTTATAAATTGGCATATTATAGAAGGTATAAAATATTAGATGAAATTTTTATTTTAATTTTATATGTAGTCTTTTATGTATATATAAAGCAACTATTTCAATAGCTTGAAGATATGATTATCATAAGATCTATTTATTTCTAACAAGATAATGTTATACATGCTTTTTAAAGTATTGGTATCATTTTATTTTGCTTTCATTTTATATTTAATGAAAGAAATTATTAGAATTATTATTAGCAAACTTTATTAAGTATTGAAATAAAAATTTTAAGATATATTAAATGCTATGTGCTTGATATCTATCAATCACTTATCCAAAATTAAGAGGTTTGGTGAAGATATTCATCTAAAAAAAATTACTTTTTTTAAATAATAAAACTATTAAAATTTATTATATAAATGATTTTTTCTCTGATATAATTTGGTCTCATTGACATGAAGATTTTCTAATAATTGAGTATTATTAATGTGTTAATATATTTATTTACTATGATTATCACTTGAAAGAATTAAATAGTAAATTCAATAAATAAGTAACAAAGTTTATTATATTAAACATAAATTTAGATTTCAATGATATATTTAAATCATTTAATACTCATAGAGATTATAAATTTTTATCAATTTAATGATAATTTATACTAAGAAGAAAATTGCCAAAATATTTATTGTAAACATAACAACTAATAATCTTTATCCCATAAAAAAATCAATGAGCAAAACGTAAAATATGTACATAAATGTTTTTTTGTATATATGTAAAATTGAATATAAATATATATATATATATATATGTTGAAGTATTTATATTATGTCAGTGATATATATACATATAACTTTCTTTTGATTATCATATATACTTTATCATTTCGGCCTCCCTTAATAAAAATTTCTGGCTTCGTTCCTACAGTTTATTAATGATTACATATTTTATCTCATCTTCAAATGTAATAATAATATACTCCTTTTGATCCTATATATAAGTAGTTTTATATTAACTCATCAAAGCCTAAGACAAGTTAGTTAAAGCAATATCCTTTGTACCATAACATAGAGCATTTTCTAAAAGTCCTATTTGAGGTAAAATATAAGATATTATAGGGTATTAGAAGTTCTTATAATTATTTTTTCGACCAACTATATACCCCTACTTTATTTAATATTCTTTTTAAGAAAATGATGTATTTAAATTTCAATTGTCATAATTAACGTATTTATATAGAATATTAAGAGACTAATATTTTATCTAACTTTTTTTTAGAATGCTAAAGTGGTTACCAAAATTTTATATTGTGGTCTAGAAGAGTAAATTTTTTGCTTCTACTTCACCCTTCATTTTCACTTCTACCAAATGCTACCTTTAAATACTTTCAAGTAATGTTTAAATTGATAGATTTAGATTTTAAATTTGAAACATTACATTTTAAATCTCATATTTAAAATAAAATGTAATTAAAATCTTTGGTTTGGGTGATTTAAAAAATTTCAAATAAAGATGAGAGATGAGTTGTTATTCAACATAAAAAAAATTGAGAATAACAAATTTATCTCTATTTTTTAATAAATAAAACACAAGAATGAAAGATAAAAAGAGATATAAGGATCATAAATGTGTTAATAGTGAACATACAAAGAGAACGAAATGATTAAAGAAGCGATTAAAATTTCAAATGACTAGGATATAGAAAATAAAATTTGAAATTACTAAGGAATTGTAATGAGAAATGAATTAAAATTTATAAATATTTGTATATTCAAATGAGAGATTTAGTTCAAATTTAACTACAAATTCTCATTAATCCAAACACACCAATATTATATATATTAGAAGATGATTAATTAGATATATACTCCCTCCATATATATCGACTTATAAGACACTTTTGAGAGAGATCCAGCGTCTCAAAATATATGACACTTTAAGAGAATTGATATTTTTTTAAATAGATTTATTTCAATATTACTTTTTCTTTTTCTTTATTTAATTTTCATCCCTCTTTTTTTAAATATATTAAATGAAGGGTATTTTATGAATTTTTTTGATAAAATAAGGTTGTTAAGTATATTTAATGAGATTTATTAACATACAAGATTTTGTTTAAAAGTGTTTTATAATTTAAAATGAAGAAAATATTTACATAAGAACTCACTGGATGTTCCATTAAGGTCATTTTTGGTATCATTGAATTGGTAAGATGAAAATGAAATCAAAGATGAAATCCTAATTTAAGTATGTTTGGTATAAAAGAGTTACAATTCTTTAGGAATCCTAATTCCATAAAAAAATGCTAGAATTCAATTCTTTCATATTGATTATGGAATTGCTTCAATTCCCTTAAATTTATTTTGTAGACCCCACTACCCTCTTTTTTTTTTTTGTCTACTTATGATAAGGGAGGTCTTTTTAATTTTGAGAAAAAATGGCAATTTGGTCTTTTTCTATTTTAAGCATATATATTAATTAAAATCACATTAAAATTCTATTTTCATATCAAACACACTTTTAAAACTCAATTATATTTTAATTGCAATTTTGATTTTCATTCTAATTTCAATTCTATCAAAAACTCTTCTATCATATCAAATGGAGCTTAAAAGATGAGACGTGACTTAATTATATTAAGGATCATGATTTCTTTCTAAAAAATGCCCTAATATATTATTAGGCCAATGGGAGTATGCAATATTTGACTCCAAGTCATGAACATGCGTGGCATAAGGTTTACAAAGTCATGTCGTACTATGTTCTAATTTCTTCCTTGAACAAAAAAATAAAATACCAACCAAAGTGTTGACTCCGAAATATATGTCTAATGTTTCATAAATGTGTTTCACATACAAAAGTTATGGCTCCCTTTCAGCCAACGTTTTGACTCTATGCTTCACAAGTAACATGCAACTTTCATTCATGCATTGCCTAGGGTTTACAGAATCAGCCGCGTTATTTATATATAATATGATTTGTTAGAGTTTTTAAATTATATAGAAACATGGATTTAAATTAAGTGGAATTAAAAAAAAACCTTTAGTCCAATTATATTGTAAATATTGCTCATAGATATTTATTTGTTGAATCCTGTTTAAAATATTGTTAAGCATTAAAAAGTAGGTACATCCTTCAGAGGAGATTCGAACTTTAATTTTTCATATTATGAAATATTATAAATTTGTTCATTATCAATGAGTGCAGTGTGTCATCAAACTCACAGTTCAAAATAATGTTGTTTACTTTATTTGAACTTAATTCATAGTTGCATAATCCGGCATGATTTATTCGAATTAGTCAAAAATTAATGGGATTTTCAAAAACTAATTGAGTACTAGACTCTCACAGTTATATCACACAAAAACGTAAATAGAATTTTAATTGGACAAAAAGGGAAAGCGGTCACTATCAGCAATATTTGGGAGAATCCATAGTGTGCTCTTGCCTTTTGTTGCGCCTCTCTTTTGGAAAAGAATAGGAGAGCTGTGATTTGATGAGAAAGGTTAATTAATAATTAGAATCCATTCATTTTCGGGGCAAATCTTTTAAAGTTGAAATTCATAATTCTTCGTAAAATTGTTCTTTTTTATATTTTTTTTATTTTATTATTTTTAATAAAACATAAAATTTCTCTTTCTCTTTTTTAAAAAACAAAATTCACATACCCTCAATTTTAGGGGATTCATTTTTTTATTTCGCTGAAATTAAAGTATCTTTAAATAATTTATATTCTAATGATTACCTTATTTTTTTAAATATCTATACGTAAATTATTTTTTATTTTTAAAAATTATTTTCCAATTAAAAATAAATTTTCAAGTTGATAATGGAAAATATATTTTATTATGTATTTCATTTGCTAAACATCTAAATTTAACATCTATTAAACAAAAGATTTATCCCTTCCCAGATCAATATTTTTTTTATATTTAAAATTTAGAGTTTAGATTTTAAAATTTTTTGGAGTTTTTAATTATTTTATTTTTAGAAACTAAAATATTAAAAATTTACAAAAATCTAAAATACAATGTTCACCATCCAACTTGGATTTAATTGATCTCATTGTATATCTGTTATTTTATGAACTCTAAATTTAGTTGCATCCCAAGAAATAAGGGGGAAAAAAAAAAGAACAGAGAAAGAATATATACGGAAGCTATTTATTTTTAAATTTATTTACAAGTTTTTTTGTGACAAAAATTTAAATGAGTTGGATTGCCAGAGCATATTTCAAGATTCAAAAAGTTATTACAGATTGTTCACCATGTTAAATTCTTACTAAGGTGTTTATAATTTTATACCTATTTTATTTGATAGGTATAACTTTTTTAATTTTAAAACATTATACGTCGTCCTCGCTTCATAGCACTTTTGAGCACTACAAATTCAGTCCCTCTTCCCACCTCTCTTCCATACCAATTCCTTCCCTCTCCTCTCAATTCTCCTATCTCTCTCTCTGTCCGTCTCTCTCTTTGTCTCTATAGTTCATTACAAATCCAAACACTTCTTCTTCTTCTTCTTCTTCTTCTTCTTTTTCTCCTTCTTCACAAAACAGATCGCTCTGTTCTCAGATTTAAAAACAGAGCACTCTGTTTCTGTCTCACATGGCTGCAATTGTGTGCCACGGTTTGCAGTCATGCTTGGAATCTCAGCTCGTTGAATCAAGAGCTCTAACTCTGAGTTTCCCTTTCTCAAAACCTAACACTCCTCCTCCACAAAGTCCCATTGATTTACCCATCAAAAAAAATTCCTGGGATTCAACCGCCAAAACCCAGGAAAGGCACGACAACAAAACTGACACCACCACAGGCTGGAGCTTTCTTCAAGCTCTGTCCAATGTCTCGTATGTCTCCAAGGAATCATCCACAGACAAAGAAAGCGTCTACGTTCATCCTCAGGCGAAGCGATCTTCGACTTCGATGAGTCAGAAGAGTCTGGAACTGTGTACGGAGAAGTTAGGGAACGAAACGGGAAGTGACATTGTTGAGAATAATGGTCATCAGATGGATTTGCTGTGTTCATCGCCGACAACAAGGAAGCAAGCGATTCCACGTCAGGGTTGTTTAGGAGAAAGGAAAACGAGAACCCAGAATTTTCCTCCTCCATTGACGACCATGAGAGGATCTGAATCTCTACAATTAAGAACACACCGTGAAGATGGAAGACTGGTAGTGCAGGCAATCAGGGTCCCACCAAGTCCTTCATGTTTTCAAGCAGAAAGAAGCCATGGCCGCCTTCGGCTCTGGTTTTTGAAAAATCACAGCAAGGTTGACCCAGAAGAGATGCAAGCGAGCAATGATGATGAAGGGGTTGAAGAAGAACGTGAAAGCGAAAGCGCAGATAGCGAAAGAACAAAACAAGAGGAGGATGAGGACAAAGAAGAAGAAGAAACAGAGGAGGAGGAAGAAGGTACAAGGAAAGAGTATGAGAGGCCAAGGCGGTGCAAGGAAGGAGACGAACAAGAAAATATTGATTTGTTAAATAACTGGGGAGAGCCTCTTTGGGTGGCTATTTCTTAATCCTTTTCTTGTTTTTAATCTCTCCTGAGAATTTTCTTGGCTATCTGACTCAATCGAGCATTGTCTCTTAAAATATTTTCTGCATTCACTAGCTCTATAATTTTGAACCTTTTTTTTTTTTTTTTGCCCCATCTAATACAACTCTGGTCTTTGCCATTGGTCTGTTTAATTTTTTTTATTGTGCAATTCTGTTTGATGGTCAATCGATCTTTAAAGAAATAATAATAAAAGAAATATATTTTTAAGTTGATGGGATGAAAAATTAAAATTATACGAAAATATATACTTTAAAATACATAAAATTCCATAAAAACTCTAACAAAATATAATGTAATCCTACGTGTTTTGTCAATAAACTAATGGGTTGTGGTCGGCAGTTATTATCGTTATTCTCAAACTTTTCTGGGACAGACATGCACATTTACAGTGGAGAGCAGCCCCTCATGGTTTCTGATAGAATATATATATATATTATAATTTGCTTCTGCTTTTTAATATACAGCTATGTTCAAAGAATTTGACAAAAACAGTAAAAAAAAAAAAAAAAGGGGGATGGCGATTAAAATGAAGAGAGCATGAAATGACACAATTCATCGGTAGAAATGGAATCATTAATAAACGGAACAAATACTATGAACCAAACGTACCTTTGTAGGCTAGTATTACTATGCTACTTTTATATGATGATTAATTGATTATAGTATTATATTGTGGCCCTAGCTATCATGAAAACTATGGGAGGCCAAATTTTTGAAAATTAATTATAAAATTGACTTCTTTTAAAATAATTTTATCACTTAAAAACTAGATGATATAAAATAAAAAATTCTAAAATACTTGAACTTATATTAACTAATTTAAATAATTTTATCTCTTAAAAGATACTTCCTTTGATCCTAAGTATATCTGGGTCATGGGAACTAATTAACTAATTAATTTAAATATATTAAGAAAATTAGGTGGTTAGTTATTCATAAAAATGGGATGATAGTTTTATTAAAATACCCCTATTTTTGTTTTTAGTCACTTGCAGCATTAGAGTATTATCAATATAACTTATATATCATGTAAAAATTTATATCGCAATATAACATTTATAAGAAATATTATTTGATAAACTATAAATAAAGAGACAGAATGACTTCTTGATATTTGATTAGTATACTATACACACATATATCTAACCAAAATGTTGGAGAATCATACTAGTAGAGAACAATATATATATATAGTTAGCTTCACTAGGCATGTCAAAAACGATTTGTTGGTAAAAAAAAAAAAGAAAAAGAACGGTGATTTTTACAGTAATTTTAACTCTTGAGTTCCTACTTGTCAGGTATTTCATGGTCTGCGTACAAGGTGACAAATTTTTTCTTTCAAAAATATTCTCAATCTTTAAAGTGTCAATGGTCTGCACGTATCTCTGATGGATTGACTCTTCGTCTTCACAGGTTTTGCACACCTCTTCTCTTGTTGGGCCCTACCTTTTCGGCCATGTTCATACCCATCTAATTATTTTTAACCTAGCTCGTTATTTTTTGAGCCACATGGGATTGAACCCAGAACCCCTTGCATCAAGGGAAAAGATTGTTCCTGCCATTGAACCAAATTGTTCTTAGTGGCCATGCTCATTCTTGGGTTCAAACAATAAGTAATGTATATTATTTTCTTAGATTCCCTACAAAACATCAAAATCATATGTTCTAGTTTCAAAAGAATAGCTATCACTTAAGCACATAAACTCTTTTTTTAGAAAACAAACAACAATGGTTTGGGAGCGTCTGTCTGAATTTTGATCTAAACCATTTGTAATCTAATATCAACACACACACAGATACAGTTGAGAGAAAAAAATTATAACAAGAGATAATTAATTGCAGAAACATGGCAGAGGATGCATATTGATTAAGAACATTTTGTTACATAATATTCACCTTTTTCGTCTTTTCTTCTCTTTATTTTCCTTCAATTCCTCTTTTCCCTTTCCTTTTCAAACCATATGTTATATCACTTTGTACTTTTAACATGGAAGATGTTGGAGGTTGCGTCACTTGTCCATAATCGAAATCTTCTTTCATAAACAGAAAGAAAATCCTATATATATATATATATATATCATATTTCTTGTTACAATAAATTATTGTACTTAATTTAAGTTAAGGATAATGAAATTGTTAGGTCCCGCTTGGTTATTAAAAATGAATGGAATGGAATGGATTAAAAAAAATAAAGGTAAAACTAAAATTATTAAAGAGGATAAATGAGCATATTCATAAGGGGAATATGTAATTTAGTTTATGGAGTTAAAAATCATGATTCATAAAATTTTTGAAGGGTGCAATAATTTCTATATTTATAATATATATTAATAAGTTTTATCATGCTTTTTATAGGAGGAAGGGTAAGTTAGTTCATTTTTGTTTTGATTTTTTCAATCCATTTCATTTTAGTAACCAATTGGGACCTTAGTCCTTCAAGTTTACTTCAATTACCGATTTAGTTTTTAAAGTTTAATCTTTTTAACTCAAGCATTCAAGCTCCTAAAGTTTTCAAACTATATACAATTAGTCCATTTTGGTTTGAAGAACAAAATATAATAGGAACTGATTAGGTATGATAGCAAAACTTTAAGGAATTGATTGATAAAAACTAAATTTTATTCCATGTGTGAATATAGAAAATATTTTTAGAAGACTTCACAATACTCGAAATCTAGCTCACTCAGATGATCATGTAAAAAAAAAAGTCATTAATTAGTATAACCCATTATGGCTGGATACTTGGACATTTTATTATAGTTGCAGAAGATTAATTCAAATTGCAGAGTCAATGCGCCCCCCAAATTAAAGTGTTTTGATTGTTTCTTAATTTATTTTCTCTCAATGAGCAATGTTTCATAAGAAAAAGAGAAACAATGTTGAGTGATCTGATGATCAATAAGATGTATATGGTTCATGATTCCCATCAAATCTGCAGATTATTGTACGGTCAGTATAAAAAACTCTTCTCTTCGTCTCTTTTCCTTTCCCTCAAAAAGTGCATTGCCCTACAAGTTCAGAAAACAGTAAATATAATTCAGAGCTCTTCTTAGTAGATGATATGAATTTAATTTTCTCCAAATAATTTTTTATTCACTTAAAAACAATATCTTCCCACATACTCTATCTATCTTATTTAATGATTTGTATATCTTCTAAGGTCAAACTTTTTTCTCAAAGCAGAATCTCCAACAATCAAAAGAAGAAACCAGGTTAACCTGATCCGTTAAATCAATATTTTGTTCATGACTAGTTTGATTATGGTTCAAGCACTATTTTAATCATTAATGTCTCTCGGATCAGTATTTTGACTGGTTTAATGACTGGTTTGATTATTTTCAGTAGAGAAAAACTTATATACTTAGCTTTATATACTTAAGGTATTTGTTTCAAAAATTAAAATATGTGTACTTTTATGAATTATTTATTCTATAACAAATTTTTCTTATTAATATTATTAATATATTAAAATCCACTTGTCTCGAGTTGATTGGATAAAAATATATTAAATATACAAGGGAAAGTATCTAAGTCTTTCTCTTTTTAGTGTCTTGGCTTGTAATTTGGGGGTGTTCACAACAAACAGGACAAAACCAAGATACCTTTGTGTTGTGCCTCATCCTAAAAAAAAGAATAAGATTGGTTTTTTTATCCTGTGTCCTATCACGAGACAGGACCGAGATGTCCTTATAAATTAAGCAAAATGTGAAAGAGAGATTTGGATAATAGTATTTATTAAATTATATAACTTGCTAAGTTGAAAACCAAAACATAAAAACATAAAGTCAATCGTTGAGTTACAATAACAACAATTTAAAGTAAAATTAAGAACACAATCAAAACAATGACAACTTAAAGTCAAGCCCATAATAACCACAAACAAACCTCAAAGTTATAAATACTATAAGAATAATAGAATTATTGAACTATAAATCTAAATTTAATAGATGGTTACACAAAAACAACATAAAATAAATAAACAAAAAATATACTTTGATTCTAATTGAATAAATAAAGTATTAAACATTAATAAAAAGAAATAAAAAATATAATTACATATTCAAGATGGGATGACATGCCCTGATGTTGATCTCATGTCCCATCCTATCTTAAATATATTTTTGTCACTTTTCACAAGTCTTGCCCTACTTTTTTTTGGATGGGACAAACTTATTTGGATATGATAGGGATAAAATTGGGCTGAGGATAAGCATGAACACCTCTAGTTTGTGTGTCAATTAAATATATTTAATATATCACACAAATCCTGAGAGACGAGTCATATCATCATATGGAAGATAGCTACAACAGGAAGAAGCATGAGAAACCCTAAAAAAGGATTCGTATCTCCAAGGCCGTACCAACTTGGGAGACCAACAGATCCAGCACTCTGAAACAAAATCAAAAACCACAATCCATCTGAATATTCCCTAATCTCTTAGCTTTATATATCTACCAAGCTATCTAAGCTTCTTCAACTTATGGCCGTGAAAATTTCAGTACGAATGCCCACTTTTATAACTGTACATTATCGTGTAGTTCCTGTACCTCCTCAGTATCTGTCATATATATACACACACTAACACACACAATATATATAGAGAGAGAGGTGAAGAGAGTATTTAAGAACAAGGGGAGCCAAAATTGAAGTTTTTATAAATTTTGGAAGGCCAAAAATACGTACTGCCAATATAATACAAAAAAATTTTAAAAAATTTGGAAGGCCATGGCTATTAGAAATAAAGAAATCAAAGAAAGTCTTACATCTAAAAATTAGAAGATAGATTAAGTATATATGAATTTTAGTGAGTGTCTAACCAAATGACTTAAACTATTTTTAGTGAATTAAACTATCTTCAAGCATACTTAATATAAAAAATTTAACTTGACATTATGAGCCATTCAATCAGGAACCAAAAAATAAAGAAAAAAAAGAAAGAATGAAAGATAAAAAAAATACAAGAGATTAAAAAGAAAGACAAAAGAAGCCTATTAAGATTTTAAAGCAAAGTACAAGCCTATGCCAAAATAAAAAAA